CAGGTGGACCTTGGTCACCGACGCCTAGTGAGGAGATGGTCGTTTTGGGCTTTTACTCCTTAAGTGACTTTGAACCACAAAAGGGCCACCCCCATCCCCCACCCCGTATCGTCTCCTCTGACCCTTCTGACTAATACTTGCGACCTTGGAAGCACTGGGCTCTGAAAACCAAAGTCCAAACCGGTACCGGTGCTCAACGACCACATTTTTATTCCGCATGCCGGCCCTTGAAGAAGAAAAGGGAGAGCTTAATTCTATTCACATTCACAGAGGGAAACATCTAGGGTGGGGAAACCCTGGTAAAGGTGGGTGACCTTGGCCGGTTCCTAGCCACCCCAGTCGTCCGCCGTTTCCCCTTCGCTAAAAGGAACTAGCGACTTGGCTCTGGGCGGGAAGACCCTCACCCTGGGCCCGGCTGTGGTTTGGTTGCTAAATGTGGGGGTCGGCCAAGGACAAAGCATCCAGTCGGCTAAGTGATGCCAGAAAGTTCCCGAAGCTGGCGGGGGAGGGCGAAGGCCGAGCGTGTCCCTGGGTTCCAGCCCTGACCCTCCTCTGCAAGCTGGCGGAGTCCCCTTCTAGGTCCGGGGAACATGACCTTGCAGCCTCCCCCTTGGCCCCGCGGTGGGGAACGAGAAGGCTGGAGATCTGAGGTCTCCTCCCGCGCGGGGGCCGCCAGCTGCGGGCCAAACCGGATCCCTTCGTCCGCACGCTCCGGATACCGTGGCGAGGGCCCGCGCCGCCTGCGTTCACACCCCTTTCCTACTCCTAAGGATGATCCTAAATGAGAGGTGGCTTGATATTTTCAAAGCCGAGATGGGAAGAACATGGACCCCAGGGCTTCTTGGTCTCCTTGTTTTGAGATTTAGATCTTGGCTAATAAATCGAAGAAGAGAGGAGGACCCATGGAAACTTGTTCAGAGCTCCAAGCACCTCTGTGGGAGGATCGTTTACTTGGAAAAGCAGAATAAGTTCTTAGTCCCTTCCTTTCTGGGAGCATGCCCACCCCTGAACTTCAGACCCACTTTCTTTTTTTCTATTATTATTATTTTTATTTATATATTGC